TGGTTGTTGGCTTTTTGTTGAGCTTTATAATTCAATAGTGAATAAACCATATGTACTTTATGGCAACACAAATGTCTAACAAGCTATTTTTGTATAGAAGATTGATAACTAAGAAAAGAACTATAAACAAAAGAAAGACTGTCAGTTTAAAACTTAAAAATCACACTTCATCTCAATTTGTTGAACAATTGAACAATTGAACAACTGAACTATTGAACAACTCAACTATTGAACAACTCAACTATTGAACAACTCAACTATTGAACAACTCTACTATTGAACAACTCAACTATTGAACAACTCAACTATTGAACAACTCAACTATTGAACAACTGAACAATCCTGTTGAACAACTGAACTTCGAATCCTTGACTTTTCTCTCCATTGATCTCTTCATGTGTTTTTTGTTGAAAAACGGCGATTCTCTATGGCTGATATCATTTTTTAAACCCATTTTTCGCTGAAAGGCAATGGATAAATGAATGTTTTCCCCAAAAAAAGATGAAAAAGCGGAAATTGGTGAATTTTCCCAGAGTCTGAGACAATTTTTAGATCTTTGGCTGAGGAAAAAGCTCGCTTAAGCTTTCGAATTGAGAAAGAAAAATTCATTTAAGCTTTTAAAAAGTTGTTAGTTGATTGTTTTAGCCATTTGGTTTAATTCAATAATAGATTTATGGTAAATTGTTAAAATTTTCTTGAATTCCTGGAATTCCTCAAGTCACAAGGGATCATTTACACAATGATTCCTCTTGTTTTCCGTTCCGCAAACTTTTATCTACAGAAATGTTTTCTAGAATCGCGCAATTAGGATTATTGTTGTAAATCTTTGAAATTTTTTATCTAGAAGAAACTAGAAGTTAATCATTTCTTTATCTTAATATTAAAGAGATCTGTGATTCGTATGGCTTGCTGACTAAAGAATCAGAAATCTAACATTTTATCTAGAAGAAACTAGAAGTTAGCCATTTCCTTATCTTAATTTTCTTTAAGCTATCAAAAAACTTATTGAAATTTCTCAATTTATGATATTATTTAAAAATAATGACTTTTAAGTAAAGAGATTAAAATCAGAATTGCCCATTTCTCTGTTGTCTCTTTGCTTAAAGAATTTTCATAGAACTTTGAAAGCTTTGAGAGTAGCTTAACGTTTTGAGAGTAGCTTAACGTTCGTTTAACGTTTTTTAGCTTAACGTTTTTTTTTGTAAAATAAAGAAGATTGTAGCTTAGGTTTATAAGAATTGTTTTAATTTCAATTTGTTTTTTTTTCTTGCTCAAAGGAAATCTAATCTCATTTTCTACCTTTGTACTTGATAATTATGTTTTAATCAATAACAATATCGAACTAATAGGTTGATGCATCAGTCTTTTTGTTCCTTTTCGTCTGCCGTTTGAAGCCAACAAATGCACGAATTAAACTACGGTTGATTTCATTAGAAAAACCAATTATTTTTCTGCAAAATAACATTAAAACGGGTTTAAAAATATTTAATGCCTGGATTTTCTTGAGAGTATGAAGTCGGGTAGTCAAAAAGGGCTAACTCGATGATGCGGTTTAGACACCTTAGCTAAAGAAAACCTATCTTCGTGTCAATAGATAAAAGATAGAGAAAAAAAACGTTTGATATTTCGCCAAAATTTCAGAGAAATTCATTCAGCCAATTTTTCCGTAGAGTTTTTTATAGATTTTTACGAAAAAGGCGTTTTTCACTCTCGAATTTGCTTGAAAGTGAACCGAAATTCATTTAAAAAGATGCAAATTGAACAAAAAAACACTTTTTTTATAGAGCAAACTATAGATTAATTCGTGAATTTGTTACTTTTTAACAGAAGTACGAAAAAAACGAAAAGACTTATGCATCAACCTAATATTTGTAGTAGGAAAAAGTATTCAAAAAAGGAACTCTACCAGATTTTCTGTCTAAATATTAAAGAGATCTGTGATTCGTATGGCTTGCTGACTAAAGAAGCAGAAAGCTAACATTTTATCTAGAAGAAACTAGAAGTTAGTCATTTCCTTATCTTGATTTTCTTTATTCTTAGTGATTTTCTTTTTGTTCTTGTCCCAAAAGATTCGTCTATTTGCTAGGGAATCAAAAACAAAACCAAAATCTCCAAGTACTTCATAGCCTATGATTTTAACTTTATATTAAACTCTAAAGCATACCAGTTACTATCTAAAATTCTAGTTTTATCCATTCAATAGTTGAAATTAAAACAATTCTTCTTATAAACTTCTATATTTTACATGAATTTCAGGCTCACTTGCTCTGAAAGCTTTCAAAGCTCTATGGAAATTCTTGGTTTTGATTTCAACTATTCTCTCGTTCTTAGAATATTATATTTCAATATTTCTTTAGTTTTTTAAATCATATCTTTCCTTTTTCTTTGATCTTTTCTTCAATTCTAAGCTTTATGTCTGAGAAAATCAGAGAAAAGATGAAGAATTTCTCAAATTTCCTTGAAAATGAACAATTTCCAATTTCCAATTTCTTTTTTCTTCTCAGCAACACAATTTCATTGTCCTTCAGTCTTTGAAGTCCATTGTAAAGTTTTCATTTCAAAAAACTTCCCCTCAAATACCCAAACTTCCGATTGCCATTCTTTGGCACATTTTGACCCAAATTTTGCAGAAAATTTGAGCTTTCCTCTCAAAATTTTAGTTTTCGTTCATTTCCCCGTTTTTTTTCTTTCCAAATCCAATTGACGTTTCATTGTTTATTTTAGAGAAAAAAGTCTTGGAAACACGTTTCATTTTGCTTATTTATCTTAATAAAAGAAGCTTTTTGATAGAATATTTTCAAAATCTGAATATCCTTCATAAACTCAGCTTCATCAATAGCTCTTTCTGCAAATTCTTTTCTTTTATAAGTTCTTGGGTTTGAATTGCATGAGAACGCTCAAATTCTTCTCTCCAGCAAAGAAATTTAGATAAAATGATAATTATTCTAATTTAATGTATTCATTCCTAATATTCTTTAAGATATTTATCAGATCGAGCCATAATTAAAGAAATGTTTTATAGATCTCAAATTTTGATAAAATGTAGCTGACGTTGAGATCTAGTGGAGGATTAAAGTGTCGAGCTTCTGCAAAAGCTTGGAATCCGTAAAATATTCATCAACTCAGCTTGCCGGGGTGCACTACTATTAGAGAAAATACGGTAACTATTGTGTAGCTTTTCAATCAGAGAAACGATATAGGAAAAATTGAGGGATAAAAATTGGAATGAAACGAGTGTACGTGCAAAAATTTCAAACTGTTTTGCTTTTAAGCCGATTAGAAAGATTAAATGATAATCATTCTAATTTAATGAATATTTGTAAAATCTGAATTTCCTACATAAACTCAGCTTCATCAATAGCTCTTTCTGTTAATTTCTTTTCTTTTATAAGTTCCTGGGTTTGAATTGCATGAGAACACTCAAATTCTTCCCTCCAACAAATATTTCCTGCTTTTTTATTGTAAAGGGAAACAAATTTGAGATGAAGAAAAAGGAAAAAGGAAAGGAAAAAGGAAAGGAAAAAAAAGCTATTTATGATTGGGGAAATTGTGGATGGCAGATGGAGAATGCGGGGTTGAGATGAGGATAGGAATGGAAAAGAATGAAAAGGATCGGGTGGAAGGGAACGCGAATTGAGAAGAACGGATCTTTGGTCTAGATCTAGACTTCATTATCTACGATTGCTTTCAAAATTTGTGGAAATGAGAAAGAACCAAGAGTGAAGCCCTACAGAATTAGTCACGACCGAGATTTGAGTCTTGTTTGTTGTAGGTGTTCTTTGAACTGAACTGTTATTGCGTCAAATCAGAAGTCGCATTAGTGAAGCTGTTTGAGATGATGCTGTCATTTTTGCTTTGATTGATTTTTGACTTTTTGGTGCTCTAGAGACGTTTTTGAGACTTATATAAGTCCTTATTATGTACGTTCTTTTACCTTATCGTTTTGCTAGATGTTATCCATAGTTTGTCCACTGAGCAATGTCCAATGTCCAATCCAATCTTGCATCTGTAAAACTATTACAGATTTCTTGCTAAATACAGTACGTAATGTACATATGTACGTTCTTTTACCTTATCGTTTTGCTAGATTTTATCAGATAAGAGGTAAATTTTTAGTACAATCCCGGTTCCACTGTCGACTAATTGTTAGATAACTGTAAAAAATCTTTAAGGTTGGACTAGTTTCTATATATTCCGATAACTTCAAGAGCTCTAATTCACTAGAGTTCTTGTAGCTCTGTCAATTTTAAATTAGTTTTTAATGTCATATATACACGTGTCTAATTGTAGTTTTGTTTGTATATCAATTATCTTTCTTCGTCTACGCTGTTCAATCTGTTTGCATTGTCACTTTTCCTTGTCGGATAAAGTATATATATAGAGTTATGCTTGTTGAGTCAATACTCATTCCCAGATGGAAATCGAATAGATTCGGGCAAAGAGATCTCTGTCCTAGCCTTGGAAAGAGAACTTTTCAACTTTTCTGTCAAAGAACAACTCTTTCCTTCTAAAAGAAATCAAAGAGATTTTGTTTTCACAATGAATAAAATGGAGTCCATTTCACAATGGACTTCAATGAGATTTCGAGAATCTCTGGGATCTCTGGGATTCTTGAAAAATCTCTGGGATTCTTGTCTCTGGACAAGAACCAAGAAAACGATTTTTAACTCTTCAAATTCTCTGCAAGTCTTTTATCTCTATTTTGCAAAATATAAAGATTCAGGAGAGGGTTTAGAGTTAGAAATAGAAAAGGGGCAGCTTTTAAAGGAGCTGGGGCCCTTCCCCCTTTCGCTTTGCCCTCCGTTTTGTGTCCCCGCAACTCGTCCCCTCTTCCTAAAACCCTTCGATAACATCAGCCGGATTCAAATCCCTTCAATTCTTCAAAAAAACCCAACCAATACTTGGATTCTTTTATTCTAAATCTAAATTCAATTGTCAATTCGATACTTCTTTATCTAAATTTCTTCAATTTTCTATTTTTCTATTTTCTTTTTTCAAAAATGGAAGGAGTCACGCATTTACTTCACGAATTACCAGAGTTAATTGTAGAGTTCTACTTTCACAACTTTCTACCTAAAGCAAAGCTCTTCACTGGGAGAATGAGTGAGTTTTTTTTTTTGATTTAATAATGATTACAAAGTTTTAAGAAGATAAGAAAATTGGCGTTTAAATGTAGAAATAAAAAGGTTTTATATTTATGCTTTTTATATTTGTTTTATATTTTTTTATATAAAACAGTTGGTTTTATATCTTAAATTTATGCTAAATCTCTTGCAAATCGTTACCGAAAGCTTGAAGTTTAGAAAAGTAGACTTTGACTTTACAATGTTACTTTAACTTTAACTTTACTTTAACTTTACAATGTTACTTTGGCTTTACAATGTTACTTTAACTTTACAAGGTTACTTTAGCTTTACAATGTTACTTTGACTTTACAATGTTACTTTAACTTTACAAGGTTACTTTAGCTTTACAATGTTACTTTAACTTTACAAGGTTACTTTAACTTTACAATGTTACTTTAACTTTACAAGGTTACTTTAGCTTTACAATGTTACTTTGACTTTACAATGTTACTTTAACTTTACAAGGTTACTTTAGCTTTACAATGTTACTTTGACTTTACAATGTTACTTTAACTTTACAAGGTTACTTTAGCTTTACAATGTTACTTTAACTTTACAATGTTACTTTAACTTTAACTTTACTTTAGCTTTACACTATTTTCAAAGCTTGAAGCTGATATATTGGATAAAGCTAGATTTTATTTGCTTAATCATTATTTAATCACTACTATCCAAGTCTCTTTATTATTTTAGGGTGAAAATCTTATGCTCTCTAATCTCTAACGTATCTATCTACTACAAATATCAAACATATCTATCTACTTCAAATATCAAACATATCTATCCACACAAAAATCAAACATATCAATCTACTACAAATATCAAACATATCTATCCACTACAAATATCAAACAAATGTTTCACGATTTTATTGAGCATCTACAAGGTTAAAGATTTTAAAAAAACAACTTTTCTAGTGTTCATTTTTCTATTTCACATCGAAAATCTTGTTTTTTGAAAAAAGATCGTTGACGTTGCTTTGAAGCGCTCAATTTGAAGCGCTTATTAGTTTTCCAAAAAAGGAATAAGTCAAAAAGAGTTTTAGAAACAAAATCAAAAGAAAAACTTTAAAAAAAATCAATTGCAATAGTTGAGAGAGTTTAAAGTTAGCTTACTGTAGTAAAAATCTTTTATCTCATTCTAGTTTTGCAGTATTTAAAGTTGATTTAGATAAGATTAAAGTTAAAGATATGAATATGATTTAGGGGGTAGGATAATTTCCGCCATTCTATCTTCTGGATCAGATTTTCCTTCTTGAAGAACTCCTCTAACCAATAGACTTTGAAAATCTCTTTTTTAGCATTTAGAAAAGCCAATGATTTCTTGTATAGTTGTTTCTTAAGAGTTTCGATTTGAAACAGAGCTTTAAGTCAAAAATTATGCGCAATTATTTGCGCAACTGGGTCATTTGCGCGACTCGCCCATATCTTTCTTCTAAGTGAACTAATCTTTATGATTTTGGTGTCATTTTGTAGATCTCAATAAGTGCAACAAAATCACACCAAAATTATAAAGATTGGTCGATTTAGAAGAAAGTTATGGCGAGTTGCGCAAATGACCCAGTTGCGCCAAAAAATTTGGCACAAAGGAGCCTATCTCTGATTTAGAATTAAAAATTCCAATTTAGAATTAAAAATTCCAATTTAGAATTAAAAATTCCAACTTAATCCCACAAATTTATAAATTTCAAATAGAAAAAGCTATTCAGCTATCGCCAAGAAGCATCGCCAATCTCCGATCGACATTCGAACCGAGAAAGTCTGTTGTGATCCGAAAGTTTGTCAGGTGAAATGAAATAATATCTTTATAAAGTTTTCATAGATAAATGATTCCTTATTTTTGCAACTTTTTGTTTAGACTACTAGCTCGAGCCATGCATAGATAGATCAAAAGAAGAGGAAATCTTTCCATGACTTTAAACACTCAATTTCAAGCTCAACTCTTCAAGTTCCAATATTGTAAAATAATCTAGATAACTTATTTTAATAATTCTTAACATTTATCATGACATTTCTAGGTAAACTCTCTTCATATCGATTATAAAATGGGTGATTGTGTCGACGTGGAGTGCAGTGAATCGGGATGGAAAGTGAATGTGGCAAAGAATTGTCAGAGTTGTAAGTCTTTTGAAAAGCAATTTAAAAATGAGTAGCGATTTATTAAGATAACATTTATGAAAATCTCTTTTAGAAGTCTATCTTAAATTTAAAAGAGTTAGTTTTAAAAGTTTTAAGCACATTGTTGATAGTGTTGTTGTTGCCAAAGCTATCTTAGAATTTTCAAGACAAAATCAGATCGCAAGAATAGGCTAGTAACTTTGTAGAACAACTCAAATCTTGCAATAAATCAATTTTCTGTTAGATGTCTGAGTACTTTTGGGCTTAGGCTTAGGCTTAGGCTTAGGCTTAGGCTTAGGCTTGGACTTAGGCTCAGGCTTAGGTTTGGACTTAGTGCGAAGGCTAGCGGCTCGCACTAACTCTTTTTGGGTTTGGGCTGAACACCCATTTTCTGGATCTCAGCCAGCTCTCGGAGCTAAAGGACACCCGATTGCCCTTGTGCTTTTAGGCTTAGGCTTAGGTTTAGGCTCAGGCTCAGACTTAGGCGCAGGCTCAGGCTTAGGCTCTTCTGGTGCATCAACTATTAGAAACATATTCTTCCTGGTAGACTGGCTCTTTATTTTCTTACAACAGCTTCTTATACTAAAAGTGATTCATTAAGTCAACTTTTTCATTCTTGAGCACTTCTTGCATCAACTTTTTCTTTCGTAAACCTCTCGTGACGCCTTTTTTTTTCTAATATCCAAAGCTAAATCGGATTTTGGTGTCGTTTAATGACTACTTTTTGATCTAATAATCTCCGACGTATCCTAATGAATAGTCATCAATCTCGGAAAAATATAAAACAGAAATAAGAACTATAAAAACATTCTAACAATTGAACTGTTCTTTGTTTTTCAAAAAAATAAACTCTTTTTTTAGATCAATTAGCGCTAAAATGCCATCATAGAAATGGAAATGAACGTTTTTTTTCCCTAAAAATTCTCTTTTCCCGTTTTTTTTGAACTACATTGTGTTTTTGTTTAACAATGAACGTAAAGAATTTTCGATTCTTTTGTTAGAATAGAGAATTTTCACAGAAAAAGAAGAATTGCATTTTAGCCGGCTTTTCAAGAAAAAAAAAATCAAAAGTCGTGAAGTCAAAAGTCAAGCTGAGAGTTACTTAAGAGTTTTTTTTTGATTCAAAGTACATTTTGAACTTTGTTAGACTCAAGCAATGTTTTGGAATGTACTTTATTGCAAAATTGCACACTGGAGCACTGAATTCTTCTGTTGTTCCTTTTTTCTTTCCGGTGTTACTTTGACATTGCAAGAAAAGCGTGAACTGAGCTGCATCAGAAAGTTTGCTTTTGCATTTTAGAGCACAACGAACACAGCTACAGGTTTTTCATGAGCAATTCTTGATTAAGCTATTTCCTGCTACTCTAGTGAAGATTTTCTTGAATGTAAAAAGTTCTTCACCGGAAACACGCAGCTTCCGGGGTTTTAGCAATAAATGCACTTTACTCAATCTCTTACGCTCCATTTATCTCTGTTTTTAGTTTCAACATTTGTTAATTTAAGTGTAAAAAAGTGTTTCAGTGATCATAAATGAAAAAAAACTTTTGTTTGATCAGTTTCAATAAGCTTACAGGCCATACAGCTATTAGGTACATGCATAAGAATGTATCTCTGTAGAGATCGATCTGTTGCAACTCTTTTTGTTGTTTATCGAAAGAGTTCTCATTTATGGGCGGATCAGACATTTCTGAAGTATTAGGTAAATGCATAAGAAATCCGGATTTCAACATTTTCATAAATTTCCAACGATAGAAAGATGATATCGATGAATTGTTTTGGATAGACTTTTAGTCATAGTGAGACTAAATCTATGATTAATTGCTACAAAATGCGCTAAGACGTATTTCAATTGATCGAACGATTGAAGAAATTTCGAGGGCGAAATGCGAGTGAACCGAACCGAACTAAAAAAGGAATCGAGTCACTTTAGGGACAAGTTTCGTGTGGTCAAAATAGAGTTAGCTTCTCAAAATTGAAGATTTAAAAAAAGGATAACTAGTTTTAGCCTATTTTGTAGAGGAGATTTACAACTTTCAAATAGTTTATAACATTCATCGATATCAGGTTTCTATCGTTGGAATGTTGAAATTCTATCGTTGTTTATGAAAATGTTGAAATCCGTATTTCTTATGCATGTACCGAAAAGTACACTACTGGACAATGAAATATGATACTTGAAAAAAGATCGTCACTTTCGCGCGTCTGTAACTCCCTTGTCTTTACTGTATTTCTAAATATTAATATTACCATTGTGTAGCCCTTTAAAAGAGCTTTCAGAAAATGTATAACACTAATAATTTCAACTCAAAGACAAGGGAGTTACAGACGCGCGAAAGTGACGATCGTTTTTCAAATATGATATTTCATTGTCCAGTACTGTAGATAAGAGTCGAAAATTATTCTTGACTCTTGGAGGAATAATTATAAGCTAAAAAGTAGAATGATAGACTTATGGGTTTTTTTTGTTTGAAATCAAGCTTTACAGTTCTCACCGGCTCTCACCTTGAGGGAAAGTATGAATTGGCTCAATTCCACGCGCATTGGAGTTACGATGGAACGAGGGGAAGTGAGCATATGATTGACGGGAAACCACAAGCTGCTGAGGTTTTTTAATAATTCTGGAAATTAAATAGATATTTGTAGAGGTTTGTAATAATTCTGGAAATTAAATAGAGTTATATTTGATAGAATAAGGAGACTTATTGTTTAGTTATAGCAGCATACCGTTTGAATTACCTTCTATCGTTTGAATCATTGCTCATAATATAAAAATATCTTCAAATCCTTTGTAAGTCGAGAAAATAACAATTTACAGGTGCACTTTGTCTTTTGGAACACAAAATATTCAAATATCAACGAGGCATTGGAGAAGCCGGACGGATTGGCTGTTGTTGGAGTGTTTATACATGAAGGATTATACAATGAAAACTATCAGCCATTATTAGATGCAATTAAAAGGGTAAATAATAAAATATCGACTTATTTTATATATTATATATAGAGAGAGATAGAATATAGATGGTTTTAAACCATTTTCAGTCGAATGAAAGCGATACCCCGGCTGCTCTTCCACACGAGTTTACCATTGAGCAATTGATGCCTGATCATGGTGAGCAATTGATGCCTGATTCATAGAACTAGGATTTGTGTTAGTTTCTAGATCTAAATTCTAGGTGAACGAGATTTTGTGACGTATTTGGGGTCATTAACCACTCCACCATACAACGAATCTGTCATCTGGACGCTTTTCACAAAACCGATTGAGGTTTCTAAAGATCAGGTGAGAATAGTAAAAGGATTTGATGAATAAGAGGAAGAAGAATAAGAAGAAGAAGAACAAGAACAAGAACTAGAACAAGAACAAGAACAAGAACAAGAACAGGAACAAGAACAGGAACAAGGACAAGAACAAGAACAAGAACAAGAACAAGAACTAGAACAAGTCCATACTTTCAACTTTCGATTTTCAGTTGAACGTTTGTCGGAAGATCTGTGGCTGTAACTATCGCCCTTGTCAAGAGCTCTGTGAACGCCAAATCATCTCCTCTACCGTACTCCACGATTAGACAAACACCATAAAGGCTTTAGTTTTATAAAACGCCTTTGAATTTGACTATAGCCTTTGAAAACTTTGCCAACTCGTAGCTCATTCCTTTTTTATGATACTCATCCAGAACCCAGAGTTGTATTTAGCTATAATTTTTGAAAATTACGAATATTCTTTTGTTGCCTTAAGATACATTTAGCAATTTTGTGCATTTTTCTCAATTTTTACACTTTTCCGGTACCGTATTTTTGTCTTTTTTTATGGGTTTGACTCTATTTCGAGTAATGTATTAGTTTTTTGAGTTCCATTGCCATAAACAAAGCTCTTTAAAGTCACTAAAGCATTATACCGAAGGGATTTGCCAAGTCGTGAGCGATTACCCAAAGCCGCACAAAGAACAGTTCGACAGTCATTTACATAGGGCTTTCTCTTAGATGGATAAAAAGAAGATATTCAGCTGTAAATTTGTACTGGTAAATTTGTACAGCAAATCGATTGAAGCTCCATCTTCCTCTTCATTTTATCGAGCCTATGGACTTCTGGCAGCCGACTTATAGGATTCTTGTTCTTGTTCTTGTTCTTGTTCTAGTTCTTGTTCTAGTTCTAGTTCTTGTTCTATTAGGTTGTCCAGTTATAAATGCGCGTTTTTAAGATAACAACTCTTTATTTTAAAACCAACAGTTTAACAGCTCAATCAACAATATATTCAACATTTGTTAACAATATTTGTTTCCATCTTCCATGCAAAGAATGAACTCCCTCCGCGTAAAAATTGGCTTGTTTTGAGGCAAAGAAGTCGGCTATCCATTTTTCGACCTCTAGAACTTCTTTGGACTTGTTTCCAGCCAAATGGTTTTGCATTGAGCAAAATAAATGGTAATCCGAAAGAGGAATATCCGGAGAATATGGCGGATGCGGGAGAGTTTCCCAGCCCAACTCTTCGAGTTTTTCCTGAACAATCTTTGCAACGTGTGGACGGGCGTTATCTTGAATGAACTTTATGTTTGAAGGATCAAGGCCTTTTTGTAGCAATACATTGTTCACTCGTTCCAGTTGTTGTGCATACCTTTCACCCGTGATTGTTTGTCCAGGTTTAAGCAGCTCAAAATAAACAATGCCTTGGGAATTCCACCAGACAGTAAGCATTACTTTCTTGCCAAGGAAGTCGGGTTTTGGTGTTGGTATTGGCTCCACACCAGGTTCTAGCCATTGCCGTTTTCGTGTAGAATTATCACCTTGAATCCATTTTTCATCGCAAGTAAGGATTTCATCGTAAAACCGAGTATTTTTTGCCAAACGAAGAAGAATACCCGCCATAGTGACACGAGTAGCTTTATTGGCATTGCTGAGAAGATGAGGAACCCATTTCCCTTGTCGGCTTGTTTTCCCCAATTGATTTAAATGCTTGGAAATTTTTTGAGGGCTTACTCTAAATATTTCTGGAAGTTCACGTGTAGTTTGTCGAGGATCCATTTCTATCGCCTGCTTCAGTACTGTATTATCGATCGCAGGAGGTCGTCGTTGGTGGTCCTCGTCTTCCAAAGATTCATTTCCTTTTCGAAATCGTTGAAACCATCGGCGACCCTGGCTTTCCGAAATAGCATCTTCGCCAAATACTTTGCAGAGATCTCGATGGGATTCAACGGCATTTTTGCCCAATTTGAAGTCATAACAAAGACTGGCACGAAGAAGAAACTTCGTCTCGGCCATCTAAACACGGAAATTAAATCAAAAATGAATTAGTTTAACGTCAAAAACACGAAAAGTTGTAATAAATAAGAAATCTTGAACAACATATAGAGAATAGGGTTTGATAAAATTGTATAGCCCTAAGGTACGCTGTTCAAGAGCAGGCGCGCATTCATAACTGGACAACCTAATAGTTCTTGTTCCTGTTCTTCTTCTTCTTCTTCTTCTTGTTCTTGTTCTTGTTCATTCAATTCTTTTACTTATAGGATCAATGAATTCAGGAAAAGTCAGGTTAAAGGTTAGACTAAACAAGGCAAAGACAGGCTGGTTTTTGGCTTATTTAGACCCTGACTTTGAACTAGACCTGATCTAGGATTTGCTCTAGATAAGAAACAGAATTAAGCATTGAAATTAAGAGTTTAGTTGATCTGACTGTGAAATCTATAGCTTATCTTTAAAATCTTTAAACTTTTGTTTGTATTTTGAGATTTTAAGATCCATTTGATCTGTATTATTCAAAAAAAAAGTATTTATGCAATTAAGATAAACAAAGAACAATGAAAAACATTCTGAGCATAGTTACAGGATTTAGCTTTGATAAAGGATTGTTTATTTGAACGAAATTGAGATCATTTCTTTGCGAATAAAACATGCGAATTTACCATATTTTCTCGAATAGTAGTGCACCCTGAGCGCCGCCTAAATTCCTCGAAATCTCGAGAACCGCTTATCAGAACCTATCGATGTGGGGTCGGAAAATGTAGCTGACAATGAGATCTAGTGGAGGATTAGAGTGTTGAGCTTCTGAAAAAGCTTGGAAACCGTAAAATAATCACCAACTCGGCTCGGCTCGGTGCACTACTATTAGAGAAAATACGGTAAATGAAAATCTCATTTAGCTAGCTTTACCATTTGGGGAATCTGATCGATAAGGGCGTATTTAATGTTACAAACTTTCCCAATGCCCATCAATTTCTTCAAATGAACACCGGTTGTGAAAGCAAATAGCGGAACGCCTATCAAAATGATTAACGAACGAAAATAGAAATTCTGAATCGAGAGCAATGTCAACCAAAAGGCACAAGCAAGGCACAAAGTGATGCAAGCAAATCTCGTTGATTCACATGTTAGAACGACTTGACCGGTTCGCACACGACGATAGCTAGTCGAAATAAACACCATCCAGATTATCTGAAACTATCTGTAACTGATCTAAATATTTAATGAAACACTTTATCATCAACAAGCTTAAGAAGACAAGAAAATCCCTTTAGAATTAAGGTTCCTTAGAATAAAGCTCAGACAAGACATCAAGATTCTGAAAAGCTTTGCATAAATATCTTTCCAAGTATTCCATATCTAATAGTAAGTGTTTCTTAGTAAAGAATCAGTTAGTAAGAACCAATAAGCTTAATAAGCAATCTACTTTTAAGCAGTCTACTTTTAAGCAAGAATAAACAATCTACTTTTGTGCTACTTTTGTAACTTAAATGCTTCCAAAGTTAAGTCAAATTTGCCTTTGGTAAAATCTGCATTACTGCCAGCATTACTATCACTAACAACTAGCAGACTCAACTAGGTAAATTCTGAATAGTTATCTCAACTAGATAACCTTATTTACCTATAAACTAATAGCTAAACTATCCCAATGATAGCTTACTAACAAAGCAACAAAATACCATAACTTATTATTAGTTTTTTTCGGGCTATGGCTTGGACTTAGAGTGAAGGCTAGCGGCTAGCGCCTTGCGCTAAGTCTATTTGGGTTTGAGCTGAACCCCCATTTTCTGAATCTCAGCCAGTTCTCGGAGCTAAGGCACACCCGATTGCCCTTGTGCTTTGGAACCCAAGGGGAGTATGCTTACAAAATTTCAGGTCACTCTCGTGCCTGGAAGTTGAGATATAAAAAGTCGATTTTACGATTTTTAGGCTTAGGCTTAGGTGAAAAAAACTAAGCCTGAATTCTTACCAAATAGGTGAAAAAGAAAAGCCACGCGTTTGGTGGATGCGTTTGAGAGGGAATCAACTCAAATGAGGCGATGATCGAGAATAGAATTGTCAACGATGGCATCACATAAGCTTCACCTCGAGTAAACGCTTTGTCAGCAAAATAACCCTTGAAATTCCATTGAAAGAGCTAAAATTGAATTGTTTTCAAAATTTTAATGCTTTTTTACCTGAAAAGCTACATTGAGGAGTATGAGAAGGATGCAAGTTTGGAGAAAAAGTTGTAGATCTTTTCTTGTCGCGCCAAAGTCGGTTTCCATTGAGATTCTAGAATCTTATTAGATAAGAGTTATATCAATTAAGAGTTTATAAAAGCAATTAAAGAATTTCATTGAGTTACCTGACAGCCAGCCATTCCCAATTAAGATCAAATGCAGGATAGGTCCACCAAAGCCATGGCTTCGTTGGGCCTAATGTGAAGTGCATAATCTTTGGTTGAAGTAACATCTTTCCACCATTTAAATAGTACCTAAATATTCACCAATTTTTAAGTACAAAGAGCTTCAATTTACATTCCGACATCATAATTGTAAGTCCAAGAAAGTGAGCGGAGACCGTCGGGTCGCTCAAATCGAAACGAGTTCATCGTACCGTCAAACATTGGAGCATACTGTAAGACAAAAAGTTTAAATGGCTTTCTAGAGTACTGTAATTTTATTGTATTTTTAAGGTTTTTAAAAGAAATCTAGAAAATACCTTTAACTGATCGAAATAGGAGTTCAAAAATCCTTGATCTCCTCCATCATATTGATCGAGGAGATCAGGGATTTTTGAATGGCTAAGAATTTGTTTTAATAGGGTTTAAGCTTGCCTAGAGACCGAAAAAGAAAAGAAGAGGGACTTCTAGACTGGATTGGGAATAGGGAAACGTCACTGACATCTAGCAATCTATCCAAAACAGACTGTTGCTTTTAAGGCTAAGAATTTGTTTGAATAGGAATAAACTTTGAAAAGCAATCTTTCAGCTCATGTAAAAGTCAAAAATTGGATGTTGAATGAACAATGACATCAACCATTGCCTAGAGATCGAAAAAGAAAAGAAGAGGGACTTTTAGACTAGATCAGGAATAGGGAAACGTCACTGACATCTAGCAATCTATTCAAAACAGACTGTTGTTTTAAGGCTAAGAATTTGTTTTAATAGGGATTAAGCTTGCCTAGAGACCGAAAGAGAAAAGAAGAGGGACTTCTAGACTGGATCGGGAATAGAGAAACGTGACTGACATCTAGCAATCTATCCAAAACAGACTGTTGCTTTTAAGGCTAAGAATTTGTTTGAATAGGAATAAACTTTGAAAAGCAATCTTTCAGCTCTTGTAAAAGTCAAAAATTACATTAGAAATTGAAAGAAATTAAAAGATTCGTCAACGTTTCGAAGCCAAATGAATAATAGATCTTGTTCCGATGATGAATTTGAATGATGTAGTCCTTTTTTTTGTCAAAGTACAAAGCTCATTCTCATACTGGCTTTACTCAATCTTTAAAAACGTGCCTAAGTGATGGAATTTTAGGCAGAAAAGTCAGCGACACTTTTCAAAGCGTTAAACTCGGAGTGAAAAGAGAATTGCTAAGGAATGGCATCAGAAAATATTGCGAAAAGGACAAAAATCTAGAAAATACCTTCAATTGATCGAAATAGGAATTCAAAAATCCCTGATCTCCTCCATCATATGACTCCAATTTGTTAACCTTGTTGAGCATGTCTTCATAAATCTAAAAGCTTTAGTTTTTTTCTCTAATTTTCTTTAATTTCATTCAACTTACAGTCAAATTCGGTTCCATCACAAAAACACCAGTGTTGAAGCGATCCGAATGACGATTAGTGACACAAAAAGAGCCACATTTAAAAATCTAAATTTTTGACTTTAATTTAAAGGGACAATCGCTTAAATATAATATAAAATATAGAAAAGTATCTATAGATATTTATAAAATAAGAAAATTTTGTCAATTTTCCCCCACTTCGCCCATTGGTCTCATCGGAAGAGTGTCCAAATCGAGATGCAAAATTCGTTTGTATTGGGTTAACGACCAGAGGTTGATCTTGCTATACTAAAATTTCTTCATATTCATATTCTACAAGATAAAAAGTCCTAAAGTTAGGTATTAGTTTGTAGTTTGGAAATAATACTTAAATCCTTGAGCTATTTAACGTCTCAATAGAATCTATAATGATATTAGTGCTAATTGAAATGAAGCTGACCAACTTTCATCGTTCATTTGATGTTAAAGTATATTTATTCGACACGAATAATGAATTACGACACAACGGAGGAAACACAACGACATCAAATGAACGATGAAAGTTGGTCAGCTTCATTTCAATTAGCACTAATATCCTTAGTTACCCCTATTACCCAAATGTCGTTAAGAAAAAAACCCATAATGATGGGAAAAAGAACCAATTTTTCTGGCCACCGGGATCGAACCTTTGGCCCCGACTAGGAGACAGAAGACAAGACTCCTATCCGACCAGGAGACAAGTCTCCTATCCGACTAGGAGACAAGACTCCTATCCAACTAGGAGACAAGTCTCCTATCCGACTAGGAGACAAGGCTCCTATCCAACTAGGAGACAAGACTCCTATCCGACTAGGAGACAAGACTCCTATCCAACTAGGAGACAAGACTCCTATCCGACCAGGAGACAAGACTCCTATCCAACTAAAAGACAAGACTCCTATCCAACTAGAAGACAAGACTCCTATCCGGTCTACGGCTACTTAAAGATAAAATCAACATGTTACACTTGATTTCTTAAAGATTTCAATGTTTTACTTGATATTTTGCAGCAATATGTGTTGATTTATATGGTGTTTCAATCTTTGGCATCACCACAATTGTCACATTCATCTTCTTTAAATATTCCAAAGATCGATTTGTGATTTCCTCGGTTGCCACAATTATATATGGATAATCGTTGAAAGAATTTAGACGATAAGCTAAATTTTCTTAACTTTAATAAAGCTGTTATTTGATTTTACCTAATACTCTAGCAGCTAATAAGAAATCGTTCGATGAGAGTGTTGATGCATAGGCGAATTCAGAGGCATCAACTTGAAGAATCGCTAGGAAGATTGGCAAGAATAAGAAATGCATCTAAAAATATATTTTCTTTTAAAAGAAAATGATCTTTCATTTCTGAACTTAAAAAGAAGAAAGAAAAAGTTAAAAAAAAGATGAAAAGTGTTTAGATTTCATTTGAAAAGCTTTCTTGCAAATAACCATTTCAATTTTGCCTATTTTCTTGAGTAAACTGACACCAAAAAACAAATAAAAAAAAACGAAATGATCAATAATCAATAAAGAAAAGTTTAAGATTGAAATTGAAAAGAGTTAGATTTTGTTTAAATAATAAAATTGAAGCTTTTAGATCTATGAAGATATGCTCAGCAAGGTGAATAAATTGGAGTCATATGATGGAGGAGATCAAGGATTTTCAAGGAGACCGCAAATTTTAAATTTGGATAGACTACAACGAAAATCTTGAGTCGATTAAATTAAATCGAATCAAATTGAATTGAAGAAGGGAATTGATGTGCGGGGAAAAATTGAAGGTTTATTGACTTATAGGATATTAAAAACATTGAGAATTGAAGTGTTTTTGTATGATTCAATTCGTCATACGATCTTTTCATTCAATTGAACGAAGATAAGAATTTAAAGTCGAGAAATCTATCGTTTACAAGCCTTAGAAGCTATCGGTTCAAGTTTATAATGAGTATTGTACTTTGCTTGAAAGAAAAAAAATCCATTATGTGTAACAAAGTATCTCCGATTGATTTCTGAAACTAGAACTCGATTGAAAACGATTCAAAACCGGGGAATTGATTCAAAACAAATCCAATAGGTACTTACCATTTTACTATTTTACTAAAAATTACAGTGACTTAGAATTGGTGATGACTTCAAAGTAGCAAGAAAACATTCTCAAATTTTCTATGTGATTTTGAAAATGAAATTTGTTTCGTTGATTTCTTTCATAATAAGCAATTTTTAACGTTACTTAGACAAATAATTCTTATAAAATTCTTTGATTAAAGCAAACTTAAATTCGGCTTTTAAATTGTATATTTAAAAGTTGAAAAAAACATCTATAAGTACTTTAAGTCAAAGTCTATAAGTACATCTATAAGTGAAAATGAAATTTGTTTCGTTGATTTCTTTCGTAAAAAGCAATTTTGTATTGCACTGAGTAATGAGTATTGTACTTTGTTTGAAAGAAAAAAAATCCATTATTTGTAACAAAGTATCTCCGATTGTTTTCTGAAACTAGAACTCGATTGAAAACGATTTAAAGCCGGGAGTTGATTCAAAAATGAAATAAACAACAATCAACAAAATAAAGAAAAGTTTAAGATTGGAATTGAAAACAGTTAGACTTTGTTTAAATGATAAAATTGATTTGACTGGGTCATATGGATTAGAAGACCGCAAATTTTGACTTTGGATAGACTAGAACGAAAATCTTGAGTCGATTAAATTAAATAAAATCAAAAAATATCAAGACAATTAGATTTCTGAGTGATAAAGAACAAAATAATAAATGAAATTGAATATTATTCAATCTATTCAATTTAAAGTCGAGAAATCTATCGTTTACAAGCCTTAGAAGCTATCGTTTCAAGCTTGTAAATACAAGAGTATTGTACTTTGCTTGAGAGAAAAAATCCATTATGTGTATCGATGCTTTAGATCTAGTGGCTCTTTGCCGTAAGTAATTGGCTTATTGATTTCAGTATGTATGTAGTATCACGTGCATTTCCTATGCTTTCACTTTATCGTTTGAATAAAGTATTATGTGTAACAAAGTATCTTCGATTGATTTCTGAAACTAGAACTCGATTGAAAACGATTTAAAGCCGGGAGTTGATTCAAAAATGAAATAAACAATAATCAACAAAATAAAGAAAAGTTTAAGATTGGAATTGAAAACAGTTAGACTTTGTTTAAATAATAAAATTGATTTGATTGGGTCAGGAAATACGGATTAGAAGAAGAATTTTGACTTTGGATAGACTACAACAAAAATCTTTGAGTCGTTTAAATTAAATCAAATCAAAAAAAAATCAAGACAATTAGATTTCTGAGTAATAAAGAACAAAATAATAAATGAAATTGAATATTATTTAATCTATTCTTTAGCTCATAACAATGAGATTACTTTGGACTTACATTCAGTGACAAAACTTACTTCATCCTTCATTTATGCCATTTTTCTTTTCACTGGCTTTTGAATCGCAATCGCTACAATAGAAAGGATGCGTTTAAGCACTAGAAAACACAAAATACGGCTGAAAAGTAAGTCCTGAAACCAAAAATCTAAGGAAAACGAGGTCGATTGGAATTCATCAGACATAGGATTCAATCAGACATACAGTACTGGACAATGAAATATGATATTTGAAAAACGATCGTCACTTTCGCGCGTCTGTAACTCCCTTGTCTTTGAGTTTAAACTATTATTGTTATACATTTTCTGAAAGCTCTTTTCAAGGGCTACACAATGGTAATATTCATATTTAGAAATACGGTAAAGACAAGGGAGTTCCAGACGCGTGAAAGTGACGATCGTTTTTCAAATATCATATTTCATTGTCCAGTAGTGTAGGATTCAATTCATTTCAACACTCTCAAACACTCCTCAAAATTCTAGACCTAAAAAGTCAATAAAAACGTTTCAATAAACAAAGTGGGGCCAAGAAGTTTCTAAGGATTTTGTGTTGACAATTGATCGAGTTGTTGACTGAACAATGACATCAGCCATTGCCTAGAGACCGGAAAAGAAAAGAAGATGGACTTCTAGACTGGATTGGGAATAGGGAAACGTCACTGACATCTAGCGATCAATCCAAAACAGACTATTGCTTTTAAGGCTAAGAATTTGTTTTAATAGAGATTAAGCTTTGAAAAGCAATCTTTCAGCTCTTGTAAAAGTCAAAAATTACATTAGAAATTGAAAGAAATTAAAAGATTCGTCAACGTTTCGAAGCCAAATGAATAATAGATCTTGTTCCGATGATGAATTTGAATGATGTAGTCCTTTTTTTGTCAAAGTACAAAGCTCATTCTTATACTGTTTTTATTATCTTTAGAAACGTGCCTAAGTGATGAAATTTTAAGCAGAAAAGTCATCGACGCCTTTCAAACCGTTAAACTCGGGGTGAAAAGAGAATTGCTAAGGAATGGCATCAGAAAATATTGCGAAAAGGACACAAATCAGAAAAATGAACACTTTTTGAGCAAAGAATGAAGGAAATGTTGCTGAAGAATAAAATTGATAACTGCTAGATCTCAATTCTATTGTTATTGCTTTGACAATTCTTAAATAACAATAGGATAATAAAGTTATTATTGAAAGCCAATAATGTGATACAAACAAAGGTTACATAATAAGACATAACGGTCTAAATACACAATTTTTATGGCACTGCGGCCGTTACCCCTATTATCCCTATTACCCAAATGTTGTGAAAGAAAAAACCCACTTGGTGGGAAAAAGAAAAATTTTTATCTTGCCAGCGTGATTGAACCCTCGACCTTCCGCTTAAAAGACAAGACTTCTAACCGGTCGGCCATCTGGCCCATTACTGTTACAATATTACTGTACTTCTTTTTATTTGAAAGATAATTGTTTGTGAGAAATTTATCATAATCAAAGACTTGTGTCGAAGTGAATACTGTCATCACAGAGCTCCCGGTGACAACAGCTCCCTGAAAAGGTTGTCGGACATTTGATACCCCTTTTCCCATTAGCAATCCAACTTTCCGCTCAAATATTTTGGTGTTGGGTGGTCCAAATTAAATATTCTTGGTATCATTAGATGCGCCAAATCTTTCTCTATCGATTGATACAAAAACTATAGTATGACACCAAAATGCTAGTAGAAAGTTTTGATTTTACGGCAAAATCTCATGGTGGTGGTGACAATGGTGGCTTAGAAATTTCATGTATAGAAAAGTTATGAAATCGGAAAAAAGTCACAAAATTTCCCCGCTCAAAATATTCACTTTATCACCACAAAAACCACCAGGAGCCACTAGAAATTCTAAGAAAAATCGCGCTGAACTGACTTTTTAGGAAATAGGAAAAGGAACTAAGAATCTAGCTGGGATTGAACCCTTGACCTCCCGACTAAGATACAGGACTCTTAACCAGTCGGCTAGATTTGAAGAGTTGTTTTACTTAAAGGATATCTTTGTCTATCTTTACTACTCAATCATATCTTTGTCTATCTTTTTCAAGTTTAATACTCTACATCAGTGAGTTGCTTTAGCTGTTACAAGAAAACAAGAATAAAGCTGAGTTTAGCTGCTTTTAAACAATCGAGCAAGTACATGAATCTAGAAAAAAATTCTATGGTTCAAGAGAAAGTTCTTTAGCAAATCTTTTCGTGGTTAGACAAGGAGTAAAACGCGATGAAAAATCACTTCATAAACACACAGAAATGAGAAGAAAAAGAAAAGAAATTGGTCTTTTCTTCTTTTTCTTCTTCTTTTTTGCCTTCTTGATCCCTTTTCCCAAATTCTTATTTACTCCTTTACTCACTTTTCCCAAGCAACTCATTTTTCTCAATGTTAAACAAGTCCGATGGTTGCCAGATGGTTTCTTTTGACGAATAAATAAATATCCAAAAGAAAATCAATGAAATAGATTTCGGGATTTTGTTTACCAATGATCTTTGGGGTTTTTTGACTCATAGGATATTAAAAACATTGAGAATTGAAGTGTTTTTGTGTGATTCAATTCGTCATACAATCTTTTCATTCAATTGAACGAAGATAAGAATTTAAAGTCGATAAAACTATCGTTTCAAGCTTATAATGAGTATTGTACTTTGCTTGAAAGAAATAAAATCCAAAGTGGGAAAGTTTCTCCAAATGATTTCTGAAACTAGAAGTCGATTTAAAACGATTCAAAACCGGGGAATTGATTCAAAACAAATTCAATAGGTACTTACCATTTTACTCTAAGATTTTACTAAAAATTAGAATTGGAATTGGTGATGACTCCAAAGTAGCAAGAAAACATCAGAGTTATGTGAGATATTTGATGATTAAAAGTAGAAACACAACCTTCTGGCATAGCCAATTTGATGTCATAAGCTTAACAATTCACTTTATGCTCAAAATCTATTAGGTTGTTCGGACATAAACAAGCGTTACTAAACTTATTGTTATCAGGGAAGCTTTTAAAATATGTCTTTCTAAAAATTACAGTGACTTAAAATTGGTGATGACTTCAAAGTAGCAAAGAAAAAATTCTCAAATTTTCTATGTGATTTTGAAAATGAAATTTGTTTCGTTGATTTGTTTCGTTGATTTCTTTCATAATAAGCAATTTTTAACGTTACTTAGACAAATAATTCTTATAAAATTCTTTGATTAAAGCAAACTTAAATTCGGCTTTTAAATTGTATATTTAAAAGTTGAAAAAAACATCTATAAGTCCTTTTAGATAAAAGAAAACGTTAGATTTAAGTGAGATTGAATCAATTGCAATTTCAAGTGTTTTATAGAGTTTCCACGTTTGCGATGATGATTCATGACGTCATTAGAACAGATTGGGAGTGTAAAATCTTTTTCGAAAGATCCAAGAAAAAAAAGAGGAAATCCTGCTAAAAAGATCAATCGCTCAATCACTCCGAAAAGGGATTAAATTGGTCGATGAACTGCACATCGATGAAAAGTGATATCATATCCGATTGATATCAAGAGATGAAGAGTTATGCGAGATATTTGATGATTAAAAGTAGAAACACAACCTTCTGGCACAGTCAATTTGATGTCATAAGCTTAGCAATTCACTTTATGCTCAAAATCTATTAGGTTGTTCGGACATAAACAAGCGTTACGAAATTTATTGTTATGAGGGAAGCTTTTTAAAAGCTTTTTGCTTTTGTCTTTCTGTATTTAAAAGTACGTTATCTTGTGTATATTTGGAATCTTTTTAAATGGATAATTTCTTATTTTTAAGATCTTTTTTTCTTGCTTTAGATGACCGACTTCAAAAATTTCAAGTTCGCGTCTGCCTACTTTATGACTTCAGCTTTAGATGACCGACTTCAGCTTTAGATGACCGACTTCAGCTTTAGATGACCGACTTCAAACATCAAGTTCGTGTCTGCCTACTTTACGACTTCAGCTTTAGATGACCGACTTCAAATATCAAGTTCGCGTCTGCCTACTTTATGACTTCAGCTTTAAATGACCCACTTCCAATATCAAGTTCGCGTCTGCCTACTTTATGACTTCAGCTTTAAATGACCCACTTCCAATATCAAGTTCGCGTCTGCCTACTTTATGACTTCAGCTTTAAATGACCCACTTCCAATATCAAGTTCGCGTCTGCCTACTTTACCACTTCAAACTGGGCAAAACAGTATTTGTATTTGATAAAATGTCTTTATTTTTTAGTACAAATTTACAAAGCTAAGTTTACAGTAAATCTAATTTTTAGTTAAAGTTTTCTATTACTTTTTCAACTTATAAAAAGTTTCATTTTTGGTGATATCATGAAATTTCTCTCATTTTTTACATCCATTTTCTTTTTAGTAGCAAATGTTTGCACATTGCATCTTTTCAGCGATTTTTTGTGATCTGTGTTAACTGAAATGACTGATTTCTAGTCATTTTAGCCTTTATCTTCGTCTTTTTTTGTGCAAAATTGTTTCAATTCATTTCTAAATATTTTATTCCATCAATCATTTGTACTCGGATTTGAATTGTTCACTTCGATCGGTTCTTTTTGCGGAAGAGCTTTTGAGATTCCATCTATATATCGCGATTTCGTTTCTCGGTTTTTTTGCCAACAACTTCGTGATGTTTTTGGGAGAATTGAGGAAAAAAACGACAGAAATTGGTTGAGATGAGACGAAGAGAAGCATCAAGAAGGAACCCTAGAATTCCTTGATTAGCATTATTTTCTAAGCTTTAGTTCTAAGCTTTAGCTCTAAGCTTTAGCTCTAAGCTTTTAAAATCATTTTATTATTCATTTACTGAAGAAACAGAGCTTCTGATCAAAACTTTTGATTCATCAGTTTCTAGAGAAATTAAAAGTGATTTTTTGATGTAAAACCTGTAAAGTTTAGAAGCTTTCAGAATTGAAATAGTTCAAAAAGCTTTGAACTGTTTAATTGCACAAGTAAAAGTTCATTTCTCTAACCAATATCTCCAATTGTTTCCTTGATCGTTGATGATTTTTCACGACAACTCCAATGGTGAACAATTGTAGAATCGAGTAAAAAAGAGGAAAGATCAGCGAAGCCAGACAGAAACGAATTCGTTTGATCTCGGCTAACCGAACGGCACTACTTTTCCAACTAAAATTCATTTGAATATATAAATCTAAGAATCAAGATTAAAAATCTATAATAATCAAGCTTAACTTACCCCTTTCGTTGCTTGGAGAACAAGGCTTGAAGACTTTTCACGTAAAGAGGACCCGATAAAAGAACGGCAGCACTTGAGCAAGCAAAATGAATACTGCAACCCAACTGGAATCAAAATTATTTGAGATTTTTACATTACATTACAACTTACCACAACATCCCGATCGATTATCCCACCCTGTAGCTTTTCTGGATGATTACCGGGTGGAAGAACGAAACGAACCACTCCCGCCGTGCCTAACTGCACAAGGATATAAGTGAGAGTTCCACGACGGGAAAGAACCTAATATATAATTGTTTATAAATATTTGCACAAATCTAGAGCTGTAGATGTACAGGGAAAGTTATTATTATTCTTAGATTATTCAGAAAAACTTTTTCTTCCTTTTCACTCTCGAATTTGCCTGTAAATGAACCAAAAGGATATAAGTGAGAGTTCCAGGGTCGGAAAGAACCTAATATATAATTGTTTATAAATATTTACACAAATGTAGAGCTGTAAATGTACAGGGAAAGTTATTATTATTCTTAGATTATTCAGAAAAAACTTTTTCTTCCTTTTCACTCTCGAATTTCCTTGTAAATGAATCCAAATTGATTTAAAAAGATGGAATTTTAATAAGAAACACTTTTTTTAAAAGAAAATTATAGATTAATTTGTTATTTTTTAATAAAAGTATAGAAAGAAATGAAAAAACTTTTTGAAAAGTCTAAGAGAAATCAATTAAACTATCCTTTTGAAATCTTATTCATCTTTAAATCCTATAAACTAATTTGTTTCAGTCATCTGATAGTAAAGTTCATTATCTCATTGAAAACAAACCGATTTATATTGTGTATATTGAACGATGGCACAGAAACGGTTGAATGCGGTGAGAACGACGCCCATATGAAGAGCGATCACCGAGCTCTCCCACATCATCCACAACCACCAAATTGCCCACTCCGATGCGTGTGCTGATTGAAGAGAGAAATGCATTGAGTGACACCACAAGTAGACAATGTTGATTACACCTTAAAATCTCTTAAAATCTTAAAGTATTTTTGTGATTGAGCTTAAGCTTTTGAAAGCTATCGATCTTGAATCAGATTTTTCGGAACTTACTATGATTTTTGATTCATGCATTTTGATCTCTATGCAATACATTATATGCGGTTATGATTATCTGATTTGCTTCTATTCGTCCCTTGAATAAAGCATTTATATTAAGCTTTTAAAAGCTATCGATCTTGAGTCAGATTTTTTAAAACCTACTATTTGCTAAGAACATTGTATAAAATGGCGAATTGGCTCGTGTTTTTTGAAAGGAGAGAATATGAATGAATAGAAGAATAAAGCATATTAAGCTTTTAAAGCTATCGATCTTGAGTCAGATTTTTCGGAACTTACTATGATTTTTGATCTCTTATTGCCATGTCAAATCTGCTCTACATTTTAATCTTTTTGTACATGTGTTTCCTAACTTTAGTCTTACTGTACCAGTTTTAGTTTTCTTTCTTTTTTGTGAAAGTATTTTAGCAATATATTATGCGGTTATGATTATCTGATTCGCTTCTATTCGCCCCTGAATTAAGCATATTAAGCTTTTAAAAGCTATCGATCTTGAAACAGATTTTTTTGAAACCTACTATTTGCTAAGAACATTGTGTAGAATGGTGAATTGGCTCGTGGTTTTTGAAAGGAGAGAATATGAATGAAGAGAAGAATCCACGAGATTCCAACGAAAATCTCCAAAAATGCGATTGTTAATTTTATGTATGAAGCTGCATCAGTTGTCATTTTCTGAATTTAAAAACATTAAAATAAATCATGAAAATCATTGAAATAAATCAGGAAAAAGAGAATAAAGTAAAGTCAAGTGATAGCTGAAAAAACGAAAACTTAAATTGTTGGCTTTAGAAATTTGAAATTATCAGTTTGATATTTAAAATTAGGGCTAATTTTTCGATTGAAATTGTAATTTCGATTTTTTTAAGCTAAATTTGAGAACATTTACATAGAATTTTAAAAGAAAAAGAAAAATTTGAGAATTGCAATTCTTTAGGGACAAGAAATAGAGAATTTGGAAGGAAAAGGATAGAACTCATGGGGAAAATGATGAGAAGAAAATTGCAAAAATAAAGTTCAATATAGTAGTCGAATTTTTTGGTACAACTTTACAGCTCAGCTCATATCTTCTTTTTTGTACCATCTATTTTCGTTTATTTTCGTGTTGATTCTACATTGATTGTACTGCGATTCTACATTCTACATTCTACCTTCTACATTCTACCTTCTACCTTCTACATTCTACATTCTACATTCTACATTCTACCTTCTACATTCTACATTCTACATTCTACATTCCACCTTCTACCTTCTACCTTCTACCTTCTACATTCTACCTTCTACCTTCTACATTCTACATTCTACATTCTACCTTCTACATTCTACATTCTACCTTCTACATTCTACCTTCTACATTCTACATTCTACCTTCTACCTTCTACCTTCTACATTCTACATTCTACATTCTACATTCTACACACGATTGTACAATTGTTCACCATTTCAGTTGGAAAAGTAGTGCCATTCAGCTAGCCGAGATCAAACGAATTCAAATCAAACGAATCAAACGAATTCAAATCAAACGAATCAAACGAATTCCGAGATCAAACGAATTCAAAATTTACCTTTAAAAAAATTGATTTTATTAAGTTTTATAGTAATGTTATAAAACTTGTTAAAAAGCTAACAAAAAAATCAGCTTAGTTAAGTATTTTTAGCATAATTTAGACTTTAGTCAACAAGGAAATGGAGAAAAATGTCTAAAAACATCTCCATTCAAGAAAACTTCAGAAAACAACCATTTCCATCATTAGGCTTTGGGTTGTTTTTGAGAGGAAACCGAAAAAAAGGCAAAGTGATTCACATGCAAATGAGGATTTGATGATTCTACGTGTTTGAAAATGTTTTAATGTTTTGCTGATTATCAGAAATTTAGACGAAAGTTAGACTAATCTGGAGTTAGACTAATCTTCATTAAAAGGATCTGAGCAGGATGAATACAGATGCAGTAAACGCAAGCATGTGTCATGTTTTTAAAGATGAATTGTCTAAAATCATCAAGCTGTGGATTATTGAAGATTTTTTTGATTCTGTGCATTCTTCATTCTCATAGCATTATAAATTAATAAACTTTGATTGATTTCCATAAGTTTCCATAACCAGCAACATTTTTCAAGATCTTTCGCATTGTTATAGTAATTCTTATATAAAACATGGAACTTTACTTTCAATCAGTTCACTTCTCAAAGCTAGAGTCATCTAAAGATCTTAGAATAATCAAAAAAAATCTTCAATAATCCACAGCTTGATGATTTTAGACAATTCATCTTTAAAAACATGACACATGCTTGCGTTTAATGCATCTGTATTCATCCTACTCAGATCCTTTTAATGAAGTCCAGATCAATCTAACTTTCATCTAAATTTCTGATGATCAGCTAAACATTGAAACATTTGCAAACATGTAGAATCATCAAATCCCCATTTGCACAGATTATCAAGCAATTGGAGACAAGAATCTGAGCCTCAACAATTAGATAAAGAAGAGGCAAGATAAGATCCCAAGTTGATAATTGATAAGTCTGTCTGTTGTTGCGTGTCTGTTGTCTGTTAGCTGATAAGTCTGTTGTGAAATTGCAATTCATCTTGCTAGATTCATTTATCTCAAAACAAAAGAAGTTTAGAAATAGTAAAAAGATCGTGAAGATATAATGAAATGTTTGTCTATAAGAAAACAACTTTCTGTTTATATCTATAAATATAAAATGTTTATATCTATATCTATAGATTAAAAGAAGGTGTAAATGGTAAAGAAATGAGTGGGTGATGGATGAAAAGGATAAAAAGAAGTGTTTTCTCTGTTTTCCTTTTTTCTCCATTCATCTGAATCGTGTTCGTCGCGAAATATGAGTCTTCCCTTGACTCGTTTATTCATAACTCTCATTTTGCTTCTCACTTTTTTTTTCAGAGAAAAGAGTCGATGTAAAAATGAGAAGAAGCAATGTTTCTTTTACTCAATTAAGATCTTCATTTAGAGAGAGAAAGAAAAGTTCACTAGGCAGCAAAATAAGAATCATTTTTAATACAAAAAAGAAGTTCCAAAAATTTTTTTGAGAACTTATAGCTGAAAGATTTTAAAGCAGATTTGAAAGCAGATTTTAAAGCACTTTTTCTTTAAAATCCCTAGAGAATTTTCAATGGAAAACTTCAGACAAATTAGTAGATTAGTTTTCGAAATCGAAAAATTCTGGTTTAAACTGAAATCTTTATGAAATTTGAATCTCAAGGATTTAAAAAGTAAAGAAAAACGATTATCCATTCAATTTTCTCACTTTCTTCTTCAATTTTCAAAAAAACTTTAGAAGAAAAAAATCAGAATAAAATTTTGTAAAGATACAATCATGGACAAAAGTCTTTTAACGTCAGTTTTTAGAAGTTTGTTCTTTGTATATCTTGATCCAAATCCGATCAATTTCCAAACAATTAAAAGATTTGTTCTTTTTGTTTAAATTTTTATTTAAAGAGCTTATTATCTCTAATTTTAACATTACAAAAAGATCGATTTGGACAAAAAGACAATTGACAATTTCTCAGGTGTCATGAGCCTTAAACAATCAGAATAAAATTTTGTAAAGATACAGTCATGAACAAAAGTCTTTTAACGTTGGTTTTTAGAAGTTTGATCTTTGTATATCTTGGTTTAAATTTGACCAATTTGCAAACGGTTGAAAGATTTAAAGAGCTTATTATTACTAGTTTTAACATTAACAAAAACGATGAATTCAATGATTTATAATATGTCATGGGCTGTTTAAAAAAACTTCAGACAAATTAGTAGATTAGTTTTCGAAATCGAAAAATTCTGGTTTAAACTGAAATCTTTATGAAATTTGAATCTGAGCAAGGATTTAAAAATTAAAGAAAAAACGATTATCCATTCAATTTTCAAAAAAACTTTAGGAGAAACAACAGAATATCAGAATAACAGAATGTCGCGACTAGCGTGATTCGGTGTGCAAGTCGATCACCTATCCGAGCCGTCTTGAAGCACGGACCAAGGAGTCTTGCGTATGCACGAGTCATTGGGTGGAAAACCTAAAGGCGCAATGAAAGTAAAGTAATCAGAATATTTTGTAATCTTGTTTGTGATGTTGTTTATTTAAAAATAAACGATTTCAATTTGTAAACTTTAACTTAAAGAAGTTATTTTGTTACTGTAAGTATTTAGTTGACTGCTTGCAATTAGTAAAGAGTTAATACAAAATCTGAATCCAGAAAAACTGGATCCAGAGTTCGAAGGCAAAAAAAAGTTTGTGACGATAAAATTGACATCAAAACACAGAAGATGATTATAAAATTTGATCACAAAACCTTTAAAAAATGAAAAAAGTCACCTTGGGAATTCACTGATTAAAAAGAATTGTAAAAAATTTATTTGAAACTTATAAAACGTCAAATGAAAGAGTTATCTATTGACGTGAATAATCCACGCAAATTTCTGAATGAAAAGATTTCGAGTGGGAAGTGTTTTCCTCCGGATATCCCTAATCCTCAATTTATGTCAGATTGTGAACGAGATTGAACACCGTTTACCGACTATAAATCATAAGAAGTTAATTTGAGCAAAGAAATGCAAGTTCAGGCACAAAATACTATCCAATCTTGGATAAAGATTTAAAGCTTAGTACTATCAAATCTTAGACAAAGATTGATGGCTTAGTACTAACCAATCTTAGACAAAGATTCAAGGCTTAGTACTAACCAATCTTGTACAAAGATTCAAATCCTTGTACTAACCAATCTTAGACAAAGATTCAAGGCTTAGTACTAACCAATCTTAGACAAAGATTCAAATCCTTGTACTATCCAATCTTAGACAAAGATTCAAGACTTAGTACTATCCAATCTTAGACAAAGATTCAAGGCTTAGTACTATCCAATCTTAGACCAAGATCTAAAGCTTAGTACTAACCAATCTTAGACAAAGATTCAAATCCTTGTACGATCCAATCTTAGACAAAGATTGTGAACGAGATTGAACACCGTTTACCAACTATAAATCATACAAAGTTAATTTGAGCAAAGAAATGCAAGTTCAGGCACAAAACTTTTAAAGAAAGGATGAAATTAGAGATGTTTACAAAAAAGTTCTTATACGGTAATTTCTGTTTTTGCAAAACTTTCATCAAGCGCTGATTGTACTTTCAATTTTCTTTCTTCTTTCTTTACTGTTTTTCGTCACCTGGCTTTATTCAATAAATCTTCTGGATCAGATTTTCTACATTCTTGAAGAACTTCTCTAACCAATAGACTTTGAAAATCTCCTTTTTAGCATTTAGAAAAGCCAATGATTTCTTGTAAAGTTGTTTCTTAAGAATTTCGATTTGAAACAGAGCTTTAAGTCAAAAATTATGCGCAATTATTTGCGCAACTGGGTCATTTGCGCAACTCGTCCATATATTTCTTTTAAGTGGACCAATCTTTATGATTTTGGTTTCATTTTTTTGCAATTATTGTGATCTACAAAATGAATTCAAAATCTTGTGTCCAAAAAAATGAATCCAAAGTCCACAATCCAAAAGCGATTGTGCACGCGCACAGGGAACGCATCGGGATCCTCGTTTTTGCTTTTTAAAGTTCAAAAGCATCAAATTTTTGAAATTTGGTTATAATGTATTTGTTATAACACTGTCAAACGATTCTCCAAACCCCGAAAACCCCGGGTGCAATTT